GCCCGGCGCCACGCTCTCCCCGCGGCGCCCGCGCAATGGCGCCGGCCGGTGCCCCGGCTCCGGCTCGAGCTCGGGCTCCTGCTTGATCAGAACGGCCGCGGCGGCGGCGGCGCCCGTGACGGATCAATCACGCCGGGAAGGGGTGGGAGCAAGCGGAGTGCGGGAGGCGGGGAGCAAGCGAGCAAACGCCGGGAGGGGGGCCGCGTCTCTGCGCGCGCTCTCTCCTGCGCGGCCGCCCCGCACCGGGCCGCCTCCGTCCGCCTCCGAGCGCGCTCGGAGCGGCTCTCCAGCCCCCAGCTGCTAGGCGGCCGCCCCAGGAGCCTGGCCGGGGGAGGGCGGGCGGCAGGAAACGCGGGAGGCGAAGGCGAGGCTGCTCCGCCGCGGCTCTGGCCGCCTCCAGGGACGGGGACGGGCCGTGCGCGCAGGGGGTGGGGGTTAGGGGGAGGCGCTGGCGCTGGCGCTGGCGCTGCGGCGGTCTCAGGGAGAGCTGTCTCACGCGCACTCACGCGCCCCCGGCCCTCCACCGCACCCGCTGCTGCTGCCCGCCGACCACCGGAGACCTGCGCGCGTCGGGACACCGTTACCGGGAAGCAGGACCGCGCGCTGCAGCACGAAGGGATCGCCGCCGTTTCACTGATTGCTTCCTGTAGCACCTGCAAGGTGATTTGGGGTTGCTTTTCGGAGGTCTAGGAGGCCAAGTCTGGGCGAGCTGACGTTCTGCGAAGACGTCGTATGGGGCACCTGCAGCCTGTGCTCTCTTCTGCTCCAGCGCCCAGAGAGGCCTTGGTCCAGCCAGGAGGGTTGCGCAAGATGACCGCCAGCGATCGCACGCCCCTTGGCTCTAGGCTGTTCGACCCGTAGGTCCTTGGCTAAGGACACCCTTCTTCCCACCCCACGCAGCAGCCGCCCTTTGCGTACCTTAAGCAAGGGCTGAGATCTGAACCTTGTGTGCGCTACTGCCCCCTCCAGGCTTTTGACCTCTCTGTGTCCCCACTCCCAAGGGCCCCACCCTAGCATTTTCGCTGGGGTGGGAGCTCTGTCCCAAGGCCAGAGACGGGCTGTGTGCCTGGACTTGGCTTCCTCTCTGCCAGGTCGCGTGATCACACAGGATAACCTTAACCTTAGGCAAATCGGTCTGGGCCAAGAAGCATCTGAGATGACCTAAAGACCTTGGGCCTCTTCTGGACACGAAGAATGGAGTGTTCACTGAGTTATAAAATCTTACGCGCTGATTAATTCGAGGGACACAGAAGGACATCAAATCACAAAATATCCTTGAACCTGAACCAAGCATGGCAGGCTATGTCCACTTCCTTGTAGCACAGGTGCCAGTGAACCTTTACTGAGTACTCACTCCCTGCCTTACAAGTGATCGTTACAACAGTCCTCTAAACTAAGTACTGTGTGCTAGTTTTATCATCCTCACTTCCCAGGTGAGTGCTCAGGGGGTGTCTGGAGCTTGCACAAAGGTGCAGAGTTGCTAGAGATTGAAACACAGGGCTGCAAGGGCTCTCTGAACCCCACTGTGGCTGCTGGATGTGTGAAAGAGATTCTTTTCTGAAGCAGGTGCATGAAGCTGGGTCCCAATTGCTCTGGACCTCAGTTCCTTCAGGCCCTCGGTGAAGGAGCTGCACCAGATGGTGTCCACAGAGCTGCTCTTCTGGAGCAAGGCAGGCACAGCCCTGAATCATCAAGACCAGATTATCAGGAAGCCCGAAGACCTGTGCAGAAGCTGAGGGAAGCCACTGGACAGAACCTTGGACAGCGCCAGGGAAGCAGGCTAAACTTGCTCTGTCCAGGCACCACTTTCTAGCCTTGCATAGACACTTCTCAGCTCCTCTTAGCATATCTTCCCCTCAAAACTAAAAGATGTGTGTGAGCAGAGCTCACCTGAGCATCTCTATCCTCCCCCCTAAAAATGGTCCCAAGGACAGAACAACTCCCACACCCTCACTCAGCTGGTGTCTCACTTGACAATGTAGATACCCACTACTTACCCTCTTGCCCTCCCTCCACTTCTCCACTCAGGTTTCTCATGAGCATTTTCACTTTTTTTCCTTAGTCATTTGTGTTTTTCTTGAGAGCTGTGCCAATATAGAGTATCCACTGACAACTACATCTGGGAATACATTAAAAGCTGACATTACTTTGCCTGACATTTACTAAGGAGGTTGAAGGCCTTGCCTGGTCACCTGCCTCCCAACCCTTGTGTCTCTGATCATGAGGTGCCCTGGGCCCAGGACACATAGCCCAGGAATGCCAGCCTTTCTGTCCATCAGCCTGGCCCCAGGCCACACTCTGATCTCATGCCTACTTCAGTGCCTGGGCATCCCTCTCCTGCCGAGCTCCTGCCCTGGCCTTGTGTTTTGGTTTGGATAACTGGGACCCTGGCATGCTTCCAAGGTCTGCATTTCTGTCTTTGCCACTGGTTTAGATGTCCCTCTACAGCTGGAGTTCAGCCTCTTTCATTTTAACAACCATTTACCAGTGTTGGGAAAGGTCTACTCCAGGCTAGACAGTGTCTTAGCTGCTGTGAATGCAGGGATGAACAAACCAGACCCAGATTTCTGCCCCATAGAACCAACATTCCAGTGGAGAAAGAGATAATAAATAGGAATAAGATTATGAAAAGAGAAATAGGAAGGTTGCCACTGTGAGGCAACTTCTCAGCAAAGACATAAAGGAATTAAGGAAGAGGCAAATCATTTTCCACGAGGGGGAATAGCAAGGTTCCAGGACAGGAGTGTGCCTGACATATTCAAGGAACAATCAGAAGTGCGGCTAGAGCAGAATAAACAACAGCATAAACTAACCAAAGGTCAAAGGCAGGAGAGACTTGCAGGACCTGGGGGCTCTTTGGCTGTTCATGAGGAAAGGGGGAACTCAGGAGAGTTTTGAGCAGAGCAGCGCCAAGAGAAGCATCTGAATAGCTGAGTGGAAATCTGCCAGAAGGGTGAAGGACAGAAGCTGGCGTACTGATAAGGAGGCTATTACAACACACCTGGTTCTGGTAGCAAGAACTAGCTGAGTAGAGGGAAGGGTCAAAAGTGGCTAGAGTCATAATTGTTCTTCATACTATTAATGGGCATACAGTACATGGGTCACATCTCAGGACTGTGGGAACACCTGAATGAGCTCATCAACTTTATAAGAGAGTGGTAGAGACCTGGAAAGCAAAGTGCCAAGTCGCACCTCCAGAATGTGTTAAACACTGGTCTCCAGCAAAGTCTGGCTGATTTAATCTCTCATCTTCTCCTATTACCACATCCTCTCAGCAATCTTTTCTCCCATGTACAGAAGTCTGGCTCAAGATCCCAGCTTAGATGTCAGAGCACCCACAAGCTTTATGGAGAGTTGGGAGCCACACCCCATCTGCTGTCTGCCAGCAGGGCATGCCTCCCCTTGAACAGGATTCTGATACCCAGCAACTAGCAGCATCCTCACCTTCCACCACCCCTCTGTCTGCTCTTTGACTGTATCTGCACCAATCACCCCCTTCCTCCCAAGTTAGAGGTGCTCAGATCCACCCCATGCACCTGCTTGCCCCTTAGGAACTGGGTCCCATTTCCCACACCATTCCCAGTGAGCCCTTTCACCCATGCCTGCCTCCATTCTGACTCTCAATAGCAGCAAGACCTTCTTTTTTAATCTTTTTCTTTAAAAGAAAACATTGTGAGCCACTTTTGCAAGCATTGCTTGTGTATTTCTCATTCAGGTTTATCTTGAAATGTTTCTTTCAATCAAGTAGCTCAGCTGTTGTTAAGTGCATTGTTTTACATTTCTTCTTTTTTTAATGGATAAGTTATGAATGATGGCTTTCAAAAAGATTAACTGAATGAATCTGAGTAGCTTTTTCCTTTTCTCCAAGGCATGTTTTGTAAATGTAGAAGTTGGGTTCTAGGCATCAAATGTGGCCTGGTGACATGTTCACAAAATAATAATAGCTACCACTTATTAAACACCCACCTACTCTGTGCTAGATTCCTTGGTATGCATCATCATAGTTTTCATGACTGCCTGAAAAATGGGTGTTAGCATCTCATCTTGATTTTGTAAACTGAGAGGCTGAGGTCCAGGTTCATGAACGATACTCTGCAGAGGCAGCGATCATGTCCAAGCCAATTGACTCAAGCTCCTGTGTTTGCCTCTCCTCTACTTGCTGTCCTCCAGCATGCCTTCATCTGACTTCAGAGGGAGCTCCTGAAGAGGTAATAAGTACTGCTGAAGGTCAACACCAACAAGAATGTACCCCTTGAATAAAGGATGGGTTTGTCTCTTCTGGGTTCTCCCAAACCTACTTCTGTGATGACAAACTCATCCTTCAAATAACAGCATCCATCCAACCAAGGAGGCAGGACCCTCTTGGCTTAATCACTTCTCCTTAGACTCATCTCTCAATTCAGGGACTGAAGTTTCCATCATATGCTTCTGGAAAGATACATTTCAACCACAGTACCTGGCCAGGAAATTTAGCTCAGGTGATCCCTAGAAGGATACAGGCTGCAAAGGGGCTCCGCATCTCTCTCATTTAGAAATTTCAAAGACAAAAAGCTTTGACAAGGGAGACCAGGGTGAACAAGCAACACGATGCTCATTTTGGGAACAGTCTTAGCTGGGAAGGAGGCCCATAAAGTCTCTGGGTTAGTCATGTGTCCCACACAGAGGTCCCTCTTTGCCCTTATGGTCAGTCTTTGGTCCAAACTCTGGCTTCTCAATCGTTAGCAGTGGAACTTCACACAAGTCACTTTGTCTCCTGAGCCTCAGTTTCCTCACCTGCAAAATGAGGGTGACACTAGTTCTTCTCTCTTGAGTTATTGGGATGATTAAATTGTGACAG